TTCCTCAGCGGTGAGTGGGCTGGGCAGAGTGAATGAGGGCGGCCAGCAGTCCCTGGGACAAGTGTCCCCACTGTCAATCCAGGGCCCAAGGAAAGGATGGTGGCAAGGATATACCTGCTCTCTCCTGAGCATCACGCCTCTGCTCTGGGTTCCCCCACTCAGGAAAGACTTGGCCACACCCAGAAGCCTGGGCTCCAGCAGTGGCCAGCACCCAGGATGGAGTCTGGCAGATCCTACAGACCATGGAAGGGCAAGGGCTGGGCCAGTGGCCTCCACTTCCCTTCCCAGCCTGGGGGCATGCCCCTTTCTGGACAATCAGGTAGAATAGTCTATTTTCCCTAGAGGGAGCCAGCCCTGTGGGAAGAAAGCCGAGGAGCCGGGCTGAGGGGATGGTGTATCATCCAGGGCCCAGGGTAAGGGAGAGCCGCCAGCAGAGGCAGCTCAGTCCCATGAAAGGGCTCTCCCGGCCATYCAGCAGACACCCCAGGAATCTAGGGGCTTCCCCTGGATCCACGGCCTCCAGCACTGCCCTCTCTCTCCCCCCTCCGGAAGCCAGGCCTGCAGGCCCTCACTCCCACCATGGGCTTCGTGTCTGTTGTCCTGTAGCCCCCACCTCCACACTCTGCCTTCAGGCCTCCAGGAGGGTGGTAGTGGCCTGACCCCTCAGGCTTGGCACAGCAGAAGTGACTCGCTAGACCTCATATTTGGCATTAGGCTTCTAAGGAGCTGGTCTAGATGGCCATTCAAGCCTGGACACAAATAATTTTTCAGGAACAGTTAAGATCGGGCTGGGGATGTGGCTCAAGCGGTACCGTGCTCGCCTGGCATGTGTGTGGCCCGGGTTCGATCCCCAGCACCACATACAAACAAAGATGTTGTGTCCACCGATAACTAAAAAAAATAAATAAATAAAAATATTTAAAAAAAAAAAAAGAAACAGTTAAGATGTTCAAGAAGCTATCGAAGGTCATTATGTAACCCTCAATGCCACCCAAAAATTACTCCCAAAGGCTGCCTGGCTGGTTCTAGCTCAGGGGAGAGAACATAAGAGAGGAGCATTGTGGGGAGGAAAGGGCAGGCAGACTTCCTGAATCACACCCCTTTGCTTGGAYTACATTTACTGAGCACCTACTGTGTGCTTGGCCCTATGTTGGGCACCATTGAGGCTGGCAGGCTGGTGACACATGGTCAAAGGAGGGCTTGGTTCTGCATTCCTCTGGTAGAGTGGGCTGAGCCGGTGTGGTGATCACTCTTCTCTCTCACTGGTGGCCTTGGGTGAGCCTGTGCCTTTGAGCATCTCCTCTGTGAGGTGAGGATAAAGCACTATGTCCTCTCAGGATGCTGGGATGCTCTGGGGGGATGGACGCTGGGGAAGCTGTTACCGTGCCTGGCACAGTGGGACTGCCACATGCAAGAGTTGCTGCTGCCATCTCATMATCTTACAGGAGATCTGGGGAAAGCCTGGCAGCAGAGTAAGCCCCAATCCTCTCCATGTGCACACAGAGTGGGGCCGAGGTGACCCAAGGCCCCTGAGCCAGACACCGCGCCTTGAGCCAGGCTCTGAGCCAGAGTGCTGTCAAGGAATCAGATGATAATTGCATTTTTCTTTGGGAAGCCGCATGGGCTTCTGACCTCGCTCCTCCTGCAGTGCCGAGGTTGCTGGGGCTCTCCATTCCAACTCTACCCTCCCTCCCAGCCTCCTCTCAGGCAGCTTGGCTGGAGCTGTGTGGGTGTCCCTTGGGCTCAAGGTCCCTTCCTGCTGCGTTTGTCTCCTTAACGGCTGTGTCTTTTGTCTCCTAACCAAGGTAAATTTCGGGAGCAGTTTAAGGCTGCCTTCTCCTGCTGCCTGCCTGGCCTGGGTCCCTGCAGCTCTCTGAAGGCCCCCAGTCCCCGCTCTTCTGCCAGCCACAAGTCCTTGTCCTTGCAGAGCCGGTGCTCCGTCTCCAAAGTCTCTGAGCATGTGGTGCTCACCAGCGTCACCACAGTGCTGCCCTGAGGGAGGGCTACCCTGGAGGCTCTGGGAGGCTCAGGGGGCCCTGCCTGGGTTGTTCCTCTGGGTCCTGGGATTCATCCCTGTGCCTCATGGAGAGACTGCTGGATGCAGTGACAGGCTCGGGTGCAGTCCTGGTTTTCTGCCCGTGTGACTCTGGGCAAGTGGTTTCCCCTCTCTGAGCTTGTGATCCCTAGGCAGGGTTGATGTGAGACTTAAGCATGCTCTAGAGAGTGGAGAGCTCTTTGTCAACTGTGAAGTGCTGTGGACTTGGTTACTGTTGTACTTCTCTCACTTGGCCGAACCCTGCAGTATTATCCACCCCCATCATCTTTCCAGAGCTTGGCCTTCCTCCCAAAGAACTTTCTCCTGCCCAATTATAAGCCTTCCCTGGAGTCTGCTGTAAAGGTCTCCACAGGTGTTTCCATCTGCTCCAGGGGCTCCCTTATGCCCAGGGCTGTACTTGGCCAGCTGCTCTGTGCCCGTGTGAACCAATCTGGGCCCAGCCCTTCCCCGGTGGGTTATGAGCACAGCCCCATGTCACCAGGTGCCCAGTGCACACACCATAGCTGGACCTGTTGGCTTTGTGGTGTGATAAAACATCTATGTGTGGCCGTTCGGCTTGGAGGCCAGCAGCCCAAAGCAATTGTAATTAAAAGCCTGGCACTGAATGTTCCCTTTCCCTGTCATTACACAAAATCTGTGCTGCTTAGGTTAGGAGGAGAGGAAGGTGGGGCAGCCGGGGGAGGTGGCACAAGACACTGGAATGCTTCTACTCATTGCCCCCTACTCCCCGTGGGATCCCAGATGGACCAGGCCTCAGGTATGCTCAGTGCTGCCTCCGCAGTGGTGCCAAGCCCCTGATGCCTGGGACCTTAATTCTTGACACATTTGTTGGCTCCCAACTCGGTGGTCTCTGGAAGGTAAGGGGGTAGGGTGGGCAGACAGCGGTTAACAGACTGATTTACTGTTCCCTCACCTTCTTGGAAACCAGGGTTTCATTTATTTTCTGTGAACTCACAGGATAAAAAAGAGAAAGCCACAGACTTGGCCGGACGTGCTCCGGCTGCTACCAAGCTGATTACAGGGCTGCCAGAGGCCTTGATCCTCGTTGCCAGAGCAAGATAGGAGTGCAGTCTGGAGTGCTGCTCTGCTGAGGAACGGGAGGCATCTGGCCGAGGCTGATGCRGCCGTGCCTGCCACCAGGTCTGCTTCACTTGATTAATGGAGCCCTGGGCTCCCCGACTTCATCTGTTAAGAAGCAGGGCAAGCTGTGGGCCCACCCAGGAGCGCCTAGGCACAGCTTCTTAGGCGTCCCACCCTGCCCCGAGCAGGTGGACAGTGTGCTGCTTGTCACAGGCCCTCAAGACTCGCCAGCCCAGCTCCAGCTGTCAGTGGAGATGCAATGGTTGCCAGGAGCTGTCCTGTCCTTTTCATGTTCCCACTGTCCTTGGGGTCCAAGGCTGTTGGCAAAGTTTGTAGGCAGGGTTGGAGGTGCACGGTGCAAGAACAAAGTGTAAGGACCAGGCCCCAAGGCCAGACCCACAAGGATAGCCCAGGTCTTGGAGCCCTCCACTGCCCTGACCACAGAGATAGGGACTGTGATTGGCATCATTCTAAAGASAGGTTTGGGGCGGTGCTGTAGCTCAGTGGTAATGTACTTGCCAGGCATGTGCAAGGCTCTGGGTGTGATCCCCAGCACCATGTAAAAGGAAAAAATAAAGATAGTTTTCAGTGGACACTTGGCTCAGCAGAGASACAATAGGAGTTTCCTCTAATGACTGCAGTTCTGCTTCTGCTCTGCAGGATGGAGCCAGAACAACAGGGGGTCTTAGGCTTCACTTTGGGGACTGATGAACTAAAGGGCATGGCAAGGGGAGTGATGCCCGGTGAGGAGCAGCTGAAGACCTTGGGGATTCCTTGGCCTAGGGGTTTTGGGGTAATGTGGTGGCAGCCTTCWCTGTCTAGAGGATTGGCATGCAGAAGGGGAAACGAATGTCCCAGGTGGCCCGAAAGAAAACTGGAGCCAGTGGCTGGTGTTTCCAAGGTGGCAAATTTTAGGATCCACATCAGGAAGTTTCTACCAGTACAGGAGGAAATGGGCTACCTGGAAAAGCCCTGAGTTTTTTGTTACTGGAGAATTAAAAGAAGAGACTGGACTCCCATGGGGACCCTGGAGGGGATTCTAGCTCTGGATGAGGGTTGTCCTTTGAGAACTGGCTCCATCTAATTGTGGGATTCCAGCACCACAGAGCCCAAAGGAGAGGAAGAAGGCTGAACAGACTGAGCCTGCCATGCCTGCTGGGCCTTACTGGCCTGCAAAATAGTCACACCACCCCTCACCCTCTGCAGGAAGGACAGTCCTGCTAAAGGCCTCAGAGCGCTTATCTTCATCTCCAAAAGCCAAAGGATAATCACACCACCTCCTGTGATAAGGCCCCCCTGGTACATTAGAATGTCTGGTGTCTTTAGCTTTTGATTGAAATTCTGTCAGTTCATTACAGACACCCAGTGTAGTCTGGGTGTCATGCTGATCTAGAGATCCAACTGGCAGGTACAGACGTCTGTACTTAATAAAAAAGGGGAGAAGTTATGGCTTCATAATAGAGTTTGTCTGGAAAACAAAACTCTTGCCTGAGATAATAAAAAGGCCATGCTGTGCAAAGTTTGGGGTGGCTGCTTCCAGCCCCAAAGGCCAGCCCTACAACTGCCATGTAATAGACTCTCGGGCTGACCCCCAGCTGTATGGAAGTACACCTGGCAGGGCCCAGGAGCCACCCAACACCTCAGGTTCACCCTGACAAGTGAGGGGAGCCCTGTCAGTCTCAGCCCCCAGGCTGCTTCTTTCTGCATGGCTAGGTAGACAGTATGGACTTAAATATCTGCTGAATGAAAGAATAAATAAGTGGGTAGATGAGTAGGAACTGGTGGCTGCGAAGTCATGGAAGAAAGCATGGGACTAAAGAATTTCATTCTTTTATTGAAGCTTACAGTTTCACTGGACTTTTGGCCCCATATGGTAACTCACACATTAAAAAAAAAAAAAAAACCCAAAACAAACAAACAAAAAAAACAGCATTGGCAGTGGGAGGTGACATCTGTCCTCCAGGAACTAAAGCAGAGCAGAGCATGGCAGGCAATTGAAGGGTCCAAGCTTTGGAGGGCAGTAGCCTGGCTGAGATACCCAGAGAGCAGACTGTCCCAGCTCCCTGAGCAGGGACAGCCCCCAGTTAGAAGTTCACACACAAGGACTTGTGGATGTGAATGAGCAGGAACCCAAGCCACTGGTCCCACAGGCAAATCTCTCTCAAGCTTGGTCAAATTCCATTTTGGAGAAGCTGGGCTCATCTGACAGGACAGTCGCTGAGGGAAGGCAGATGCTAACGGTAAGAGGCTGAAGAACACTTATCACTGGTGTCAGAGCACAGAGGGGGAAGCTAAGGGCCAGAGGCACAGCCGATTGCTCAGGCCTGTCAGGACACTCAATTTCCAGTCCTCTCCTAGGTCAGGCTCCTTCCTACCTGTATGGCCACAGTCCAGGGATCCATTATTTGGTGGCTCTGATGCAGAATCCTCAACCCTCTTTGGGAACAGTGCTGCATCAAGCTAGGGAGAATTTTTTTAGGAGGGGAAAGAGAGGCCCACATACTTCTCCCACTCTAAGGAGTCAGGAAAGGTCCTTGGTGTGCTCCACTGTCTACAGATAGGCTGGGTCATAGCATCCGAGAAGCTGTCATGGTGACGAAGTCCTCGAAGCTGAGCCGAATGTTGCCCTGCACCGCAGTGTCCTTCTCTCGGAAGGCCTCGGTCAGCACCTGCAGCTGGGTGCATACCTGAATGAAGCGGTCGAGCTGCATGGCGGGACTGCCAGAGCGTGGGCAGTAGCGGGAGACCAGGAGCTGGGTGAACTGGGGGCTCAGGTTGTAGCCCATTTGGGACAGAGCTGGAAAGGAGGGGCACACAAAGCAGACACACAAAAACCTGCTGTGAGCAACTCCACTGACCAGCAGCACAGGAGCACACGGAGCAGGGGACTTCTAGGATACAGGCATGGAAGCACCAGGAGGCCAGAGAAGTCCCGCAGGTCTGTTCAGGTGGTCAGGCGCACAAGAGGGGCTCTGTCTGGAGGTTCCCCTTAGCTGGAAGGCCCCCTCCCTCTTTCTCCAAATCTCCCTTAGAGAAGCTGGCAAGAGTAGTGCCAGTACTGATCCCTCCCTCCCTCTTGCCAGGGGCAGAAGTGGTGTTCTCACCACCCACACACCTGTTTAGTCTGACTGAAACCCATGGCCAGGGCAAAGGACCAGATTCTCTGTAGCTTTTTCTCTCTCCTAGGTGAGGAAGCTCCCCACTGGGTTCTCACCAATAGCTAGCCCCATTCTAACAGGCAGCTAACCACACAAGCTACCTGTCCTCCTACCTACTGGTCTGGGCTCAGATGGCAGGCTGTGGACCCAGCGTTGGATCAGAACCAGACTTGGAGTTGTGCTCTTAGGTCATCTTACTCAGCTTCAACTTTTACTCCACTCCACCTCCGTACCCACCCTGTGCCAGGGATTGAACCCAGGAGTGCCTTGCCAGGGAGCTACTAGTCCTTTTTATTTTTTGAGACAGAGTCCTGTTAAAGTTGCTAAGGCTGGCCTCAAACTTGCAATTCTCTTGCCTCAGCCCCCTGAGTCACTGAGACTACAGGTGTGCACAACCAAACCTGGCTCAACTGCAATTTTAGAGTGCTATGGGTCCTGGAGACAAAAAGGAAACAGCCTCTGGCAGAGGTGGCAGCAGAACCTTGCTTTCTGAGACCCTGTTCAGGGCTCTTTCCATTCTATATGCTGGGAACTAGAGGGAAGAGCCACACAGACTAGTCTCCAAGAGTGGGCCTGCACTAGGACAGCATTTTGTGGTACGGGTGGACACATGAAAGGGCACATGTTCTGTTTTAGGAACTAAAGAGAAGAGTCCAGCTCTGCCCTGCCCACCATGCCCTTGCATGGGCCTCACCTTGCTGCAGCTCTGTGTAGCTGATGGAACCTGAGTGGTCCCGGTCATACTGTTGGAAGAGGTTCTTCCACTGCTGGATGAATTTCCACAGCGCTGAGAAACCATAGACATCAATGCGGCCTGACTTGGTCTTGTCAAACATGTCTGAGGGGGAGAAGGCAAAGGATGGCCAAGGGTACCATTGAAGCAGCCCCTTTCCCAGGCTGCAGTAGAAGACTCCACAGGACTGCAGGTCTGAGACACGAGCATCAAGGGATAAAAAAGCCTCTTCCCTGGTTGCCTCAGCCCCACTCCACTCAGAACTTCATTTTCTCTGCTGGGTTGAAGGCTGAGCCCCCCACCCAGCCATTTCCTGCCAGGGGTGGGAGTGCCCATCTGCAGAATGGGAAACCAAATCAGCCTATGACTTATTAGTCTAGAGAGAAACAGTTCTCAATTTAGGGGAAATCACCTTGAACCCCACTTTATCCCTGAAATTTTCCCTGGCCAAAGAATTTCTCCCAAGTGACCATCCACCCACCTACTGTCAACTGTCAGTGGCTGTGCACCAGCTCAATCCCACAAGGAAGGGCTGGGACTCACTTATCATCATGAGGCATGTCTCGTCATTGAATGAAGACCAGTTGGAGTTGACCAGGGCCTGCTTTAGCTCCTTCTTGGAGATGTAGCCACTGTGATCTGAGTCCACTGACTGGAACCAGGAGTAGRCCTCAGGATCCACATTGGGTGGGACACCACCTGGGAAAAGGGTGTGAACCAGGGAAGTCAGACCCAGGCCTCTAGGCCAATCTGTTGAAATGCTGGGCAGGGCCAGCCTCAGTGCCTCCCTGTCTCCTTTCCTACCCACATCTCCCCCATCAAGCTGAAATTCTTACTCTGGTGGAAAAGGCCTCAAGGTAGACTCAAAAGTATTTGCAATTGCTTTCTACCCCAAGAGTACTTCACACTTCTGTATAGTGCCCCAGTCACTTCTTTGTTTCCTGTCCCCTTGGAGCATGTCAAGAATTCTCTGGGGAAGGTAAGCTGAGGGATCAGCAATAGATGAAAGAGGAGAAGCAAAGAAGTCTATCCATCTTAGAAAGAACTTATACTAATTAGCCAGAAAAGAGGCTCCTGTACATGTGAAAGGATCATGGGTAGTTGTGAAGGATGGAAACCACTGCCCAGTCCAGAAGGCGAGGCCAGAAGGGAAAAGGTTTGCCTGACTGAGGGGTGGTCTCAACTCCTTGGATAAAATCCAGGCAGTGTCAGTGGGGAGTGAGATTCATAGTCTCCAGAAAGAGAGTTTCTACAACCCATGTGTGCCGTGCTGTGTGTGTCGTGGAGCTCAGGCTTTATAATCAAATCCTCCTCTCATCCTTACTAGCCTTACTAGTCTGTATGACTTCAGGTGAAATGTGTAACTTTCTGAGAACTGATTTCCCCATTTCTAAAATGAACCCACTTCCCAAGGTTATTGTGATGATTAAATGAGATAACAGCAAAGTAAGGTTCCTTAGCAAAGGGACTGGAATGCGAGCCATCAGAGACATTGTCACTAAGGAAGGAATATTCCAGCTGGGTCTGAGAGGATGATCAGGAGTGAGGCGGGGAGAAAAAAGAGCAGGTGGCAAAGGCACAGGTGTGTTAAGAGCATTCCAAGGGGTCTTGCTTTGTGGGAAGGAAGGGTTGATGACAGATTCGGAGGCTGGAAAGGCCTTTAGGATCCTCCTGGGAGMAGAGGGGCATGGCTAAGGGTCAAATCTGTCTTCCAGAACAGTGGTTTCTAACACCAGACATGGTCCTTCCAGGACTCCAATGCAGATGATGTCTGGATCTTGCTTTATGGGCTGGCTACACTGAAGAGGARAGGAGAGGCACTGGCAAGAGAGTAAGCAGCAGAGGGTGAATGACAGAGAGTCCAAGGCCTATCCCTCYTTTCTAGCCCTAGGGATTAACACGAGCCTCAGGCCCTGGAGGACGTCTCAGRGCTGGGGCTCATTTTCCTATGGGCTCAGAGACAGGATTTTTTAAAAGTGTGGAAATCTGTGGTGAAGTTGCTGAGCTGAAAGCAAATGACCAGACACTCTGGGCTTTAAGAAGATAAATGCCACTGGCTGGCACTGCTCAGAACCCCCGAGGTTCAGGCAGCTCCCCTTGGACCACCTGCCTGCGCATGTAAACTCACACACCGCCTGCTTCCCAGCAGGACATTCCCTGGAGGCCCTTCCCAAGCACCAAAGTGGTTCCAGGCTGCTTTGCTGGTGGCTTGGTCTCCCAGGAACAATCATTCTGTCAAGGAGCTAACTGAAATGGGCTTAGAGAGGAAGCAGAGCACTGGTACCCACTTTCCCTGGCCTTCTGTCTGAGATTGTTCAGAAATCTTCACGGAGGCTATAGCCCACACCCAAAGCTCTGCCTCCACCGAATCTCCAAGTCTCTGTCCCTCTCCTGTCCAGTACTGCATCTCCTGTCTCTCTGCTTTTTGTTTCCCTTATCTCATCCTCCTGTCTTGCCTCAGCATTTTWAAAAATATTTTTTAGTTGTTGATGGACCTTTATTTTACTTATTTATATATGGTGCTGAGAATCGAACCCAGTGCCTCACACACGCCAGGCAAGCGCTAACATTTTTTAAAAGTAAGGTCCATGCCATATCTGCTATCACATTAAATGCCACGTACTTCTTTGCTGAGAATGCCCTAGAACGAGTCCTCTCAGAGAATATTATTTAATGAAGCCCCTCCCATGGCCTGGACACTGTGCCATTACTTGTACATTCTCATTGAATCCATGTGAACAACTCCATGAGGCAGTGGCATTGCCCCATTTTACAGGTATGGGCACTGAGGCTCAAAGATGTAGTTTGGTCAGGTCAGTAAGTGTTCAAAAGACAAGCTTTCAACAATTAAGCCATCTTGCCTTTCTATAGATAGTGATCAGTCTCCCTCACACAAGAATGGGCTTGTCCCCTGGTACACTACATTACTATCTCCAACTGTTTGCTGATTTCCTCCTCCTTATAAAAGCACTGTACATGTTCTCCCACTGCCTGGCAACTTGTAGAACCCCTCCACGGCAGAAGCATCCATTCCCATCCTATTGCTATCAGGCTTAGCCAGGAGTTGTGCTTTGGCCAAAACAATGTGAATAGATAACACATAGGGTACTTCAGAGTAGAAATTTAAAAAGCCTTTGTCCATCCCTGCTAGCTTCCTGATCCTTTTCTCTGCTACAAGGATAACATTTTCCAAATAGGGGATGCTCCTTCAGCCTGGATCCCAGAGTGAAAAGACACATGGAGCAGAAACTCAGCTGCCAACCTGCAGCTGCTGACATATGAGCAAGAGTAAATAAGCGTGAGTAAGCAATAGAAATTACTGCTTGTTGTGAGCTGAGGAGATTTCCATAGCCAAGATAGCTGACATCTTCTCATTCTGCTGATGCAGGCTGAAGCTGGAAGCAAGATGCTCTGGTGCCAGAGACCAGGGTGCCTGCACACCCGTACATGAAGGACAGGATGGGACTCAGAAGCTGGGTAGAGGCACCTAGAACGTAAGATCCTACTTACCCTGTCCATAAGGCCCAGGCTGCTGGGCACCATAGGAACTTGGAGGTGGCTGACTATAGGGGCCACCTGGGGCGGCACCACCATATGGTCCTCCTGGGGTTCCAGGGGGGAGCCCCCCAGCATTGGGGTATCCATAGGGTCCTCCACCAGCTGGTGGTCCATAAGGCCCTCCAGGGGCAGGACCCCCATAACCTCCACTGCCATACTGCCCTCCACCATGTGGGGGTCCAGGGTAGTAGCTACCCGGAGGGGCTCCAGGTGCCTGTCCTGTAGCTCCTGGGCAGCCCTGCAGGAAGAACAAGATATCAGTCAGAATGATAAACTAGAAACTAGCCACAGTATGGCACTCCATAGCTGATCCCACTGCCRTTCTTTCAAAGGGTTCTACAGGTAGGGTTGGAATTATAGTCCCCTTGCTCAATGGGCAACCTGAGGCTCCTACAGAAGGGATAAGTTATCCAAGGTCACACCACCAATGTCTGCAGAGTCAGGTGCTGAAATCCTGCCCTCCTGACTCCCCTTTCTTGCACACCAAGGTGCTTTACAAGGGCTGGGATCATGTCTGGTTTGCCACTTTATCCCCAGCAACCAGTACACAAAGGATGCTCAGTAAATACTTAATGTATGAATAAGCAGGCAAATGAATCAAATGGGATCCCAAGTGTTCACCCTGTGGTACCTCCATGTCTATCTGCAGAACTCACAGCACAAATGCAGACTCTACCACACAGCTGTGACCCTCATCAGTCACCAGTGATGTAGCCACAGTATGGATATACCCACAGCATGTCTTCCTTAAGCTCCACCAGCTCAAGATGCAAGAACATTTTCCTATCCTCACTCATAACTCTGAGGCAGGCAGGGAGACACTATTCCTAAGGTAATAGGGCCCAATGGTTAAAAAAAAAAAAAAATTCAGTTCAAATTCAGGTTCTGTCACTTACTAACTAGCCTAATGACTTATCCTAAGCCTCAGGATCTTCTACTGTAAAATGGAAATAATAATAGTGCCTACCTTGGGTTGCCACATGAATGAAATGGGACCAGTCATGTGAAGGGCCATGACATAGGGCCTGACACAGAGTAAGCATTTGATACACGTTAACTATTAATAATATCTCTATCTACAGAGGAGGCAACTCAAGTCCAGGGAGGTCACATACCAACTGTGTGGAGGAGCTGGGCCCAGAACCCAGGTCTCCTGGCTCAAAGATCAGGGCATTAGAGAATACAAGGGGACATTACACTCTCTTGTCCATCTCTGCATGCTTCTATCCAGGGATTCTTGAGGCTCAGAGTGTTCCGCTGCATGTCCCTAAAAGGCCAGCACAGGGCTTGGCAGAGCACAGCCCTAACCTATCTGCAGACCAGCTGAGCTCAAGGACACAGGGGAGAGCTGGCCCAGCTGAGGATCTGAGAACGGTACAGGTTCTTTTATGTGTGTGTGGTACTGGGGTTTGAACCCGGGGACACTCTACCCCTGAGCCACATCGCCAGTCCTTTTTATTTTTATTTTCTGTTTTGAGACAGGGTCTTGCTAAGTTGCCAAGGCTGGCCTTGAACTTGTGAGTTGCTGGTATTACAGGCACATGCCACTGTGCCCAGCTTGGTATAGGTTCTAGAAGTGTGCTAGATCAACTTGTAGGTACCCCAAGGTCCTAGCATTGAAAACTATGGCTTTCTCTTTTTATTGTGTCTGACAGCTTCTCAATTACCCTCAAGGCTAAAGTCAAACTCATACTTCCTCTAAAAAGGGGCTTGCTTGCCCAAGGGAGGCTTCACAGGGGAAGGCAAGACGCAGGCACTGCCACCTTCCCCATTCTGCACTGTGGGAGCTTCCTCCTGGAGACTGCTAGGGCTGGCAGCAAGGCTCTCACAGACAGTGGAGTCAGATTCAAAACTCTTTTCTCACCAGCTGAGTTCATGACTATGGGCCAGTGGCTTAATCTCTCTGAACCTGCTCTTTACAAATAAAATATGATAAATCCTTTCTTCAATGGTTATGCCATCAGTTACAAGAATTAAACACAGCAAAGTTCTATTAATTTAATTTTTAGCTAAACAATCCTTTTTTTAAAAAAAATATTTATTTTTTAGTTTTCAGCAGACACAACATCTTTTTGTTTGTATGTGGTGCTGAGGATGGAACCCGGGCCACACGCATGCCAGGCGAGCGCGCTACCGCTTGAGCCACATCCCCAGTCCAGCTAAACAATCCTTTGATGACATAAAATAAATACAATTGATCAAAGAAAGTTGCTTTGGCTGTAGCCAGGTGGGGTTCCAGATCCTTGGTCACATGGACTCCCTGCCTAGATTTTGAGAGGACTGAGAAGCCTCAGAGTAACTCAAAAGAGTCCTAAAACCACTAATGGAAATAAACAGTTCTTCCAACATAAGGCAAATGATCAATAAATCCTTGCTGTATTATTATTATATGAATTATTATTGTCAGCAAAGGTAAACCCTGTGGGATTTAAAGGAGAATGGACATTCTGAAGGAGCTTGCAGTTAACAGACAGGCATGCAGATACTCCACAACACCTAACAGACTAGCATAATAGGTGTTTAACATGCACACATAAGCCACAGTGACATGGGACTTCAAAGAAAAGAGGGTAAAATCAGGGATGGTTTTCCACAGGAAAGTGGCATTTGAGCTCGGACTAAAAGAATGAACAAAGCTGGGCGTGGTGGCACACACTGGAATCCCAACAACTAAGCTGAAGCAGGAGGATGGCAAGCTTGGGGCCAGCCAGGGCAAGTTAACAAGACCTTATCTCAAAATTTAAAAATTAAAAGGGACGGCTGGGGTTATAACTCAATGGTAGAGCGCTTGCCTCGCATGCATGAGGCCCTGGGTTCGTGAGGCCCTGGGTTCAATCCTGAGCACTATGTAAAAATAAAGATATATGTCCATCTACAACTAAAAAAAAATTTTTTTTAAATTAAAAGGGAATCTAGCACAGTGGTAGAGCACCCTCAGGTTCAATCCCCATCAAACTACCAGTATCATGAAAAAAAAAACAAGATTCCCAAGGGGGTTGAGAGGTGTGACAAGAGAGGTACACTGCAGGCCAGTCACGTAACCTAACCCTCTGGACCTGGAGAGAGGAAGGAACTTTCCCAAGCCATTCTCTGAATTGAAGGCACAGGTGGTGCCAAACCACTCCCACCAATCTGCACCTGAAGACTCTCAGTACCTCCAGCTACAGTGCTCCTCCCTTAAGCAACAGTATCCCAGAGTAAGATGGAGGTGGGGGGGAACTCTGCGGTATCTGGGCATACCCAAAGGACAGGCTGAACACCATGCCCGGAAGCTGGTACTGCAAAGCCATGAGCTGTCCTGGCCAAGGACATCTGAGGCCCAGCCCTCCCACCTGGGACACATCCCCGGGACCACAAAGCAGGTGCACCCAGGCAGTTCTTCTGCCCTCCCAGCTACCACACTCCAGACAGAGACCTGTGTGCCTGGGACAGTCTGAGAGTAACTAAATCCTCTTCTTGCATTATACATATTCAAACACTATTGGCAGAATATCACCAACGATCCCCTGAGAAGATGTCAGGAGGCCTATTTCTCAGATAAAGAAACTGAGGTACAGAGCTATTAAATGACTTCATTCAGCAAGCATTTTAGAGCAACATTATACCAGAGTCTGTGCTTGGCCTGAGGGCATAAAACTAAATGGGACCCTGCCTTTGAGTACCCAAAGATAATTATGATCTGATCTGATCGGTGTTAGCAAATTCTTCTTACATGCTATGAAGGAATTTACTTTGTTTGCTGAATGAATAAATAAGCAATCTTATGAATGATGCATGAAGTGAGTCAAGGAAGGCTTCTCAGCCGAGGCAGCAGTGACATTGGAGTTGGTCCTTGAAGGATGCATGGGCATTCCCCCAAGAGGAAGATGGTGAAGGACGCTCCAGACAGAAGGCTAAAGAAAGATAAAGCACAGACTTACATAAGCAAGCACAGTGTGGTCAGAGAATGGGCTGAAGAGCAGAGGTGCAGAGGTGGGAAGAAACCAGTGTGAATTGAGAAAGGCCCTTGACACACTCCCTGACCAAGCATCTCTCCCACCCGCCCTTCAGTCAGTGGATGCCTTTGGTGCCAAAGAGTACTTTCTATCTATTTAGCATCTCTCCACCCAACAATAAGCTCCCTAGGGATAAACACTGGGCCTCATTCATCAAGGTACCCCAGGGTCCAGCACAGTGCCTGACACCTGCAAACCTTCATAAATATTTGAACAAATGACCACCACTCTAAAGTGTTTGGGCTTTATGCTGAAGAAAACAGCACCACAGAAGGGTTTCCAGTAGGGGAGTAATGAGAGCAGAGCCCTGTTTAGAGAACCAGCAGAGATGTGGACGTGAGCTAGTGGGGGAGGCAGGGGCCCAGGTACTGGGCAGGCAGACCTGAACCAGACAGAGAATTGGGAACAAGGAGACCAGGAWGGATTCTGAAGCTATTTCAGAGATAGACTAGACATGACTTGACAACTAATTAGATTAGGCAAGAGATGGAGGGGGAGTGAGGAGAGGGAAGTGTTTAGAATGACTCAGGTTTCTAGCTTGCACAGATGACGGAAGTAGAGCCACCAACTGATGATACACAATCCAGGATGAGAGGAAGTGTGCTTTCCCAGGGTCACTGAGTTCTTTGTAAATGTCTGAACAAGAAATGAAAAACAGAGCCCCTGACTCCACATTCTTTTATACTACTCGGTGCTGCCAACCCTTTGAGAGTTTTTCCAAAAGGATTTTAAAATAATAAATATAAGATTGTGAAAGAGGGGAGAAAAAAGGCAGGAGGAGTTCATTCAGTAACCATGGTTTCCAAAGTATCACCAAAAAAGCATCTCTAGGTCTTTAGCTAATTGCAAATAAGCTACATTTGATATATTAGGGGCTTGTGGAGGGGGGACACAATTATTAAAGCTCTGCTAGGTGCTTCCAGTTCAATCAACTTTCATTGATTTTCAGTTCTAAGGTTAAATACTATTATTCCCATTTCAGAGATGAGAAAATTAAGGAGCACAGAGTTCAACAATGTGCCCAAGATCACGAAGCTAGAATGGGCAAGTTGGGATTTTAAACAGTGTCTGCATGAAGGGGTGCCTGGCATGTTCCTGCACCACATTCTGTAAAATGCCTGTGTCAAATACGATGGCTTTCTACATTGGGCAGGCTCAGAGGGGAAAGACTGGAGTAGGTGATCTTTCAGAGCCTTCAGGCCCAGAAATCAGGGAGTCTCAGAGGAATCTCATATTCTTTTTTCACTCCAGCACCAAGRTCTAGTTTGAAGGTCACATATTGGAAGAAATCCCACAGACCCTTCAGTCCAACCTCTCAGTTGATAACACTGTCTCTGCAGCACCACTGGAATCTCTATTTGCACTCCTGCTAGTGATAAAGAGCTCACGCCCCCCCGCCCCAAATAACCCACTCAGAAAGTCCTGCATGGGTTTTTTCCTCCACTTTTAGCTCCAAAGGCTCATTCTTCTACCTGCAAGACCCTTCTGAGGCCCAGAAGTATCAAAGGCTGAGTCCTGCTGAGGAAGGAAKGAGGCTGCACTGAAAGAGAAGCCTGTGCCCTGGAGCTTCCCGTCAAGTGTCTACTGGAGTGGCCAGAAGCCCAAATAAGGGGTTGAACGATCACAAGAAGACATAAGGTGCCCAAACTCACCAGCAGAGCTTCCTAAAACATTTAAAGGACAGAAACATGCAAACAAAGAAAAATGAGCCAAGAACTGTGCCAAGACCACCTCTGTGCTGACACTCCAAAATCTTTCTTTCCAGCTTCATCTCCCCTGAGCTGCAGACCCACATATCCAAAGGCTTCCTGAGCTTCCTGCCAAAACTATGCCTACCTCTGTGTTCCCATTTCCTGCTATCTACCTCAGTCACCTAAACCCAAAGCCCTAGTACCCTCCGGGGTACCTTCTCTTTCTTCCCTTCGTCAATTAAACACCAAGTTTTATTAACTCTACCTCTTGAACACACCTCAAATCAACCTTCACCAGGTCACTGTTCTTTTTAGCCCAGATTACCTCAGTGGTTTCAAATTGCCTCAGTCTCTCCATTTTCATAGTGTTCCACGGTAAGAGTTCCAAAGGACAAATGAGCTTCCCTGCTACCCTTAGAATAAATTCACTCTCTCCAAAAGGCATACAAGGGATCTGGCCCTTGCTTATCTTATCTTATTTCTTGCCCCTTTCCCTGTCACAATTACTACTAGACTGCTTTTCTTTTCTTTTCTTCTTTCTTTCTTTCCTCCCTCCTTCCCTCCCTCCCTCTCTCTTTCTTTCTTTTTTCAAGACACGGTATTGCTATGTTGCCCAATCTGGTCTTGAACTCCTGGGCTCAGATGATCCTCTTGCCTCAGCCTTTCACGCAGTTGAGACGAAAGGTGGGCCCCACCATGGCCAGCTAGACTGATCTTAAACTTCTCCCCAAATACTGGGCCTACTTGCTTCCTGGTTTTTGTGAACTTATTTCCTCTATTAGAATACAATTTCCTTCTTCACCTAGCTAACTCCTACTGGTGATTCAGTTTTTGGATTATCCCCAAAGCTTAGAAACATACAGATTCCTGGGTAAAAAACAGGTCTGAGGTGGGCCCTAAAAGTGTGTTGTTTTAACAAGCTATCAAATGGCTCTGATGAAGACCGGCCACTGAGAAACAATGGCAATGTTTTCCCAGAAAAGTCTTCTTGCACCCCTAAACTAAGGTATCCTGCTATCCTAGTACCTTACACTTATTCCCATTTAATACTTATCATACTGATTCTATAATCAACCTATCTACATACCTCTTCCACTTAAGAATATTTACCACATACCAAACACCATACCAGGATTGATATGGATTATCACGTTTAATCTTTATGAGAATTCTGAGGTAGATACTGTTATGATTTCTTTTCGAAAGAGGGGAAACCAAACTTCAGACCTTTGCAACATTCTTCTGCAAAAAAAAATTTCAGAGATTTGAAATCAAATCTCTCTGGCCTCAGAGATCAAGCTCTTAAGAAATCCTTCAAGCTGGTTCTCCCACAAGAGCAAAGTTTACTACTCCAAAATCAGTCCATGCTCGAGTACCCTGGGCTGAAGGCAATGGAAAATTACAGGAATTGTGACTCCTAGCAGTGGGTGGGAATCCTCCAGGACCATGTAGCAGGTGGGAAGAGGCAGCACTGACCAAACCTCTGGATGACTTGAACCAGTTTTCTTTCTTAGAATACCTGGGACAAGTCAGCAGGTAAAGTAAAGTGGGGTGGAGGGGGGAAAAAGCACCATTTCTTCTATTCCAGAACCCTTTTCTCCCTGCATTCCTTTTTGACATTTCTCTCCAAGCATAAGTCCAGGCAACATGACACTGTAACAGAATGCAGAAGCAAAAGCTGCCACCACACACAAGCATGTATAAGCAATGTGCCAAACTCCTTGTAGGCTTTGCTGCATTTCTTCCTCATTTCAGTCCTTTATACAGATATTATTTCTCYCATCCTACATGTGAGGAAACTAAGATTTAGGGGCCCTTATATGGTCTGTCCCAGGACACATAACTATTAAGTGACAGAGTTAGGATTCTAGTCCAGTTGTGTCTGACCTGATGACTTGAGCCAGTTTTCTAGGATGCATACAAAACTCATCCCCAAAGCTCAGTAACGTGCAGATAGGTCTTTTAACAAGCTGTCAGATGACTCCAATGCAGACCAGCCACTGAGAAACAAYGTACTATGGCAATGTTTTCCAAAATTGCATTTCTCAGGAATGCTAATATCACAAAAATGACTGATATAAAATACATCTTCTATTTATTTCTGGAAGAGTTACAATGTACATTAGCAAATTAAGAATTCTAATCTGTCCTATAATGAATAAATCAATTCTGCTTGACATGTATTTCCCAAAATTTTTGACCACAGAATTCTCCTCTATTAACAATAACTATTAACATCTCACAAAACTCAGCAAATGGAAAGGGGTTTGGGAAACACTGCTATGATACAATTCCTCCTAACCCAGCCCATGCTGGTCTCTCTAAAGAATTCTAAGTTTTAGGGGCTGGGGTTGTGGCTCAGTGGTAGAGCGCTTGCCTAGCGTGTGTGAGTTCCTGGGTTCGATCCCCAGCACCACATACAACTAAATAAACAAAATAAAAGTATGTGCAACTCAAAATATTAAAAAAAAAAAAAAAAAGAATTCTAAGTTTTAGCGCTGGTGTCACCCTTATTTGCTATGTGTGACATCTAAGCCACTTAACCTCTCTGGGTTTGTTCCTCAGTGGTAAATTGGGGATAACAATCTCTGTATGACACTTGAGCCTTCATGATAGATGTAATGGAAGTCCAAATGCCCTGTAAACTGGATATAGGAGTGCACCTTCTGGAGTGATTCTTGCTACATTTTCTGGTGTGTCAGTTGAGTTTAGTAATATCACATTTGATCTTGTTTTCCAATTTTTCTTGCATGAAATTTATCTCCTAAAGTACTACATGATTTTGGACAACTTAGAACCCCTCCTGAGATTGTTTCCTCCTCTTTAAAATGAGGGGGCTGTTTTGAGGGCCTCCCGGAAATGACCATCTTAAAAGTTTAGTAAAAGGGCTGGGGATGTGGCTCAAGCGGTAGTGTGCTCGCCTGGCATGAGTGCGGCCCGGGTTCGATCCTCAGGACCACATACAAACAAAGATGTTGTGTCCGCCGAAAACTAAAAAAAAAAATAAATATTAAAAATTCTCTCTCTCTTTAAAAAAAAAAAGTCTAGTAAAAATCAAAACTCTAAAAGGCAACATGTTACACCATGCTTTGTGCCAAATGCTGTAAAAGCATCACCTCATTCTTTTCAAAACTGCTCTGAGAAAGATCCTATTATTTGGCCCTAATTTAGAGGTGGACCCTCTAAACTACCCTATCAACATCCTGCCACCTAACAAAGCATTTTGGCCACAGAATCATATTATGGTGTTCTTGGCTGGTTTGAAATAAACTGTCAAGTAAGGAAGAGGCATTTGTAGACAGCCCAGGTTCTGTCGTTGGCTCTGCTGCCTAAGTACTTGGTGACTTCAGATAAACTGTGTCTTCTCTGGTTTTCACTTTTCCTAAGTGAAATGGAGACGTTGAGCTATGTCAGTGATCAGACCAGCTCAGTTGAGGATCTTGGTACCACCACAATGTCTCCTGATTATTCTGAAGCAGTACGTGAGTAGGAAAATCTGTATTTCTTATCCGACTCCCTAATGACATCGAAGAAACCAGAGCGCTAAACACCTTATCAGCACGGAAGACCCCGCCCAGGGCGTCCACGGGAGCCTTGGGAGGGTGTGGAGCCCAGGACSGGCCCAGACCGGATTTGTGGGGGTCCAGCCTGAATCTGTAGGGTCTGAAGTTTCCCAAATCATCCCAATCGAGGCGTCAGATGGGGCGGGACGCGACTTGAGCAGGGTGTGTGACGTGAGCCGGGTGCGACCGACAGTCCCTTTTTCCTTCTCCCTCGCGCGAGGCCTCGCTGAAGCGAACCTCAACGTGAGGAGGCGCAAACAACGCTGGGAGAAAGAAGAGTCCAGGGGCCGGGACTGGGCTGAGCGGGGCTAGGCCTCTATCTGCATTCGYGGGCCCCTAGCACACTCACCTGCCCATACGGATAGCTGGCCATGGCGACTCTGACGTGATACGTTGGTGATAGGCGGGGCTTCCTGCCCTCAAAGCCACCCCTCGCTGGGTCTGGGGGAGAAGCCGTATCTGAATGGACAGTCGGATTGTCAATCTTCGGCAAAATCGGCCGACGGAAGTGACGATACAGAGCGGTGGGCGGGTGCTTTTTTGATTTACCAGAAATTCTAAAAGACTTGTAGAGGGTTTCCGAGGTTCTGAGGGTTGTGCCGGCGCGCTTGTTTCTCCTTTTCCTGGCCAGAACTAGGTCCCAGGGCTGACCAGGTCAGGATATTTAGTGAGAAGCCTGGGTTGGGTGTTGCTGCGGTGGCCATGTTATAACCTGGCAAATTGGACGCATGATAGTGGCGTAGTTGCTGTCCTTCCCAAGTTCCCGCCCTAGGATGCCTTGACTACTGGGGAGCTAACTGAGGCCTCCTGGAAAGGGTAGAGGCKGTGGCGTCATGACATCGCTAGTGTCAAGACGCCGGTACCAGTTCGAACCCTTGGGGTGGTGCACAGATCTGTGGGCTTTGGAGAAAACCTCAAACTGTAAGAGTAGGAAGAAAGGTTGTTGGTACCTCTTCATAAATGGGGAAACAGGTTCTGAAAGGCAGCGACTTACTTGTCCTGGTTCACAGTGAGGTCGTGACAAATTGTGGCCTAGAACTGGGGTCAGGATGCCCAGGTCTCAGCAAGAACGTGTAAATTGGGATGTGTGTAGTCGAGAGGGATAAATAAAGAATGTCCATGCTTCTGCCCCTTTCAGTGCTTTATTCACTCAAATTACTCAATACAGTTTCACTCTATAGGTTCTTTTTTTTAAAAAAAAAATTATTTGTTTTAATTAGATACACATGACAGTACAATGAACTTGACAAATTATACATTTGAATCAGATGGGGTATAATTTCTCATTTTTCTGAGTGTACAGGTTGCAGAATCACGTTGGTCATGCAGTCACGTATATACCCACAGCAATAATAATGTCTATCTTATTCTGCTGTCCTTCCTTTCCCCCTTCCCCTCCCCTCCCCTCCCATCACTTCTCTCCACCCAATCTAATGTGACACACTTCTTTTTTTTTTCTTTTTCCTCACTTYGTCATACATGTATTCTATATAACGATGAGGGTCTCCTTCCATCTTCTGTGCAATTCCCCTTCTCCCTCCCTTTCCCTCCCACCTCTCTTCCTTATTTAGTGATAATCTTCTTCTCATGCTCTTCCTTCCTACCCCATTTTGAGTCACCCCCCTTATATCAGAGAAGACATTCAGCATTTGTTTTTTAGGGTTTGGCTAACTCTCTATAGGTTCTTAAGAAAACGACAATCCTTAATGCTAGGTACTGCAATAGACATAATCAATGCACAGCAAATGATTCTAGATTAGTTAATTCACAGCAAACAATTCTAGATTAATTTTTAAGCAGTGTAAATATACTTAATCATGACAGGCTAATAACAGACATTCCCTCTGCATACTAAGTTCAAATGTCAGATCAAAAGTCTTAAGTCCAGCAGATGCACACTCAGACCACGGTGATCAGCTCCAGAACCAAGGCAGGCTTCTCCTGGGGTGGAGTGGATGACTGGTTGAGGAGAGGGTAATATGGAGAAGTTGAGGCTCTCACCAAGGTCTAGATGAGGCAGTAGAGTTTGAGAGCTGTGAGGATCACACAGAGGATCAGGAAAACGATGACAAGCGATGGGATGTCAGACCAGGTCCTCATCAGGCTCTCCAGCTCGAGTGCATCCTTGTTTCGTCTGGCTGAATCCCTGTTCATTAACTCTATTATTTATACTAAATAATAATTTGGGGGCTTTTGACCCCTCTTTCAATCCTTATCAGCTACCATTGGATTTCTCCATGGCATCATTTACCCTGAGGTCAGAAACATCTGGTCTGGTGGTCTCCACCCTGATCTTCTCACCTTTCCCTCTTAGGTGAGGATAGCCTGCCAGGGGCTTCACTCTGTTATCAGGGTGAGGGGAACTAACTTGTCTGAGGCCATACTGGAGGGCTCTGTTAGGCGTGCCTGATTAGACTGGAGTTTTCAAACTGGAGTTYTTAAAATTGAGTTGTTTAGGCTCAAAAAAAGCCTAAGGCCATCCTCACACCTTGATAGATCAAATCTTTGTTCCTAAATGATTTCAATATTATGTACTTGCCTCTTGGGGTTCAGGTTCTATACTTGTTTGTCYGCTTCTACGGTTGTTTTGTTAATTTCTTCCACTCAGACAAGAATTGTGTCTGGTTTTACCTGTCATTGTATCTGCAATGCCCACACTGTGCTTTTTAARTAAACAAATGAATAAATGAGGGTTATAAGGTGTTACCCAGTCAGGCCCATCTTATCGTATATCCAGGCATTTCCAAAATTACAGTGTTGATCATCTATTTGCCCATGGACAGCCTGCAATATGTGCTTCTCATCCACACTGGCAAAATAAGGCCAATCTTTTTTTTTTATCACTTTTCCAGTCTTAGGTCTCACAGTCAACATTCCACYCTCCTACACACAATTCCACTATTGGACACTTTTGTTTTAATATGAGGATCTTAGTTTTATCACTTTCTAATGGTAAGATCTTGGGCAGATGAATTTTTCTTCTCTGAATCTGTTTTCTCAGCTGTGAGATACAAATATGTTAATTTGAAAATGAGCGTTTTGTCCCTGCGCAGACTTAAGGTCAAACCACTCCTTTCACTCTGTGTCTCAACTCCAATCCCCCCCTCTACTAACCCTCCCACATTCCCTCCAGCTCCAGAGGTAGCCACTCTTGCCAGTCTGCCTTTGCACTTGGCACTGTGGCTGTGCCATGTTCCGACCTGCCTTGTGTAAGAGTTATCTTTGATGTTTTCCTCAAAACCCATTCCTCTCCATCTCAGAAAATCCACCCAGTTTCTCAGGCCAAAAACCTAGGCTCATTGTTGTCTGTTTCTCTGCACACTCCCCGACCTCCACTTGCTCTAGTTAAAAAAATATGCCATGTTTGCTCTTTTCTCCCTGTTTACACTATCCTTCCAGTCCAAGACACCATCATCTGTAGCCTGAATCACTACAATAGCCTCCTGACCAGTATTCCTGGTTTCACTCTTTCCCCCACACTCCATTCCCATAGGTAACCAGAGTAATCGTCTTAAACTCTGAGTCACATAATGTTATTCCCTGTCTTAAACTCCTGAGGGTTTACCATTAGTCTTACAATAAAAACTGAACTCATCCTTATGACCTTCATGGTCCTACATGACCTAGACCCTGCCTTGTGATGTGGGCCTCATTTCCTGCCATTGTTGTCTTTCTCCATTCCTTTCTGCCACATGGGTCTAGTTACCACCCCTGAAACACACTGAGCTCATTCTCACCTCCAGATCTTTGGTTTAGCTCTTTGCTTTTTCTGGAATATTTTCTCTTGATTTTCCACTGATTGGCTCTTCCTGGTCATCCAGGTCTCAGTTGAACTATTACCTCAGCGGGGTGGGGGGGGGCATTCCTTGATACCACATCTAAAGTACTCTGCCTCCCTACACACGTTCCATTCATTCATCACACCACTGAATCTTAATTTTTCATATTTGTCACTTGAATTATCCTCTTTTAAGGTTCACATGCATATTGTAAGGTTTACATGTGTACAGTAAGGTTGTAATTTTCTTACTCATTTCTCTGTCTCCAGCACCTAGAATAGGGCTTGGCATGAATTCCATGATTAATGGTTTTAATATCATCTTTGTATCAAACATACCCCAGGTGTGAGAAATTGTGCTAAGTGGTACTTAGTTTTTGCCACAGTCTCTTGAGCTAAATACTATCACCCATTTATAATGCAGAGCTGAAGTTCAGCGAGTCTAAGTGACTTCCTTAATATGAAAAGGATAAGTGGAGCCAGGTGCAGTGGCACATGCCTGTTATCCAGCAACTTGTGAGGCTGAGGCAGGAGGATCTGGAGTTAGTGGCCAGCCTCAGCAGCTTAGCAAGGCTCTACACAGCTTGGCAAGACCCTGTCTCAAAATAAAAAAATAAAAAGGGCTGGGCATGTGACTCAGTGGTTGAGCACCCCTGGGTTTAATCCCTAGTAACCCCCCAAAAATATATCAGAAAGAAAGAAGTTCTGAAGTACGGGACTGAAGATGTAGGGGATATTTTCCCAGAAATAGTGACATCTACAAACTGAGATAGCATGATGCATATTCATGACTCCACAAACACATTAGCCTATTGAGTTCCTAGCACTAGCTAGGCTCTGTTCTAGGTGCTGAGGATTCACCGCCTGTGAGAATTCCTCGCCTCCATTCCCTCTGCCAAGCAAAAGGCTTAGTAGAACTTTCTGTTGGGGGGCCAGAGGAAGCCAAGTCTTCTGTCAGGCAGTTAGAAGTCAGACACCAGCCAAAGACAACACCCAGGACTGTGCCTCTGAGGACCTGCAGCAGGCCCAGGTGTGTTTATTTTGGAGGGGACTAGATGAAAGAGAGATCAGGATCTTCCAAAGATTGAAAAACAATCAACTCATTTCTAAAACCTCAACTACCTGAGGCCGACGGAGGTGAGTGGGGGTGTTCCTGTTGTTGTTTCAGTTTCAGCCAAAGGGGGAAACTTGGATTTCATCCCTTTGTAGAGCACAGAGTACCTTCCGGAGATCATGGGAGCCCTGTGGTTGACCCTTCAGAGATGAGACAGAGCTTGGTAATGGAAAGCCATCCACGGGAAAATATTGCCTCCCCCAGAGATGTCATCCCTGCTGCCTCCTGGCTGGGCTCCACACGCCTGTATGGCTTACTGAGAAGGAATGCCAACACCCAGCAAATGATTATGGAATTAATTCTTTGTACTCCAACTAGATCCAGTTCTGAAACTTAAATTCGAGTTGGATTTTCACAGAACCAAACAAAAAATGAGAACAACAGGCATGGCAATTTGGACACATTCCCCTTCCATTGTGGGATCATAACCAGAGGACCTTGATATATTCTATTCCCATAAATGATTCAGGTCAGCCACAACCAAGATCTAATC